ATATACACTCACTGAACATTTTATTAGGAACACCTGTGCTCCTGCTTATTCATGCAATTATTCAAACAGCCAATCACGTGGCAGCAGTGAAATGTATAAAATCATGCAGATACAGGTCAAAAGCTTAAGTTGTTGTTCACATCAAATCATCATCATCAGAATCTGGGAACAGGTGATCTCAGTGGCTTTGACTGTGGCATGATTGCTAGTGCCAGATGGGCTGGTTTGGGTATTTCTGAAACTCCTGATCTCCTAGGATTTGCACACAACAAACATCCAGTGAGCGGCAGTTCTGTGGACAGACACATGTTGTTGATGGCAGAGGTTAGAGGAGAACGGCCTGTTAACTCAGATAACTACTCTTTACAACTTTGGAGAGCAGAAAAGCAACTCAGAGTGCACAACACATCCAACCTTGAGGTGGATGGGGTACAACAGCAGAATACCATGTCAGGTTCCTCTCCTGTCAGCCAAGAACAGACACCTGAGGTAACAGTGTACACAGGTTCACCGAGACACAATGGCCTGGTCTGATGAATCCGGATTTCTGCTGAGGCACACAGTTGTTAGGGTCAGAATTCGGAGTCAACAACATGAATACATGGACCCAAACTGCCTTGTGTCAACAGTCCAGGCTGGTGATGGTGGTGTAATGGTCTGGGGAAAGTTTCCTGGACACACTTTGGGCCCATTAAAAGAAATCAATCATGGTTTGAATGCTGACCATGTGCATCCCTTTATGGCAACAATTTACCATCTTCTAATGGATACTTCCAGTAATGATGCAACATGTCACATAGCAAAAGTCGTCTCAAACTGGTTTCATAAACACGACAATGAGTTCAGTGTGCTTCACTGGCCTCCCCGGTCACCAGATCTGAATCCAGTAGAACACCTTTGGGATGTGGTAGAACGGGAGTTTCGCAGCGAAACTGTGCAGCTGACAAATCTGCAGAAACTATGTGATGCCACTATGTCAACATGGAGCAGAATCTCAAAGGAATGTTTCCAACATCTTGTGGAATCCATGCCACAAAGAAGGGAGACTGTTTTGAGTGCAAAGGGAGGCCCTAGCCAGTGTTTGCATGGTGTTCCTAAAAAAGTGTTCAGTACACACACACACACACTCACACACAAAATGAATAAAAAAATACCATAACCCCTTCTGAGCACAGTATCCAGCCTTCCAACCATAGATCGGTGGCCCAGCTGTGCAGCTGACATGGATGCGAATCTGTATGAACACTTATCTCAGAGACAGAGCAACCCCAGTGAGGCCATTACACACTACCTCTGCTGACTCACTCACACACTTCCTGGAAGAGTCTGTCTGCAGTCTTGCACTGAGCGTTATATTTAACCCTCAGGATGGGCTTTTGTTGACTTTGTGTGTCGTAGGACCACTGGACCTGAGGTACAGGCTCTATGATTGTGACTCATGCTTTTGTTTAGCTGCAGGGTTATTGCAGGGGGGGGTCAATAGGAAACAATAAATCAAGACTGACTTTCAGGGTAAAACTGATAAAAGGGGAGCAAATTAAGGACATGATTGCTAAGACTACCCTGTCTCTCATCATTAAATTTTATTGAAAAAAAGAGGGCCAAATCAAAGGAACAGACTGCACTGATGGCATAATTGATTGGCATTATCTCTTAAAGCTGTACATTGTCCACATGTTAGTAAGTAACAACAGCAAACAGTTACTTAGTGAAGCATTTTGCAGACGTAAGATGTGTTTTTTATATATATATATCAGTTAACTCGCTTACATTCCTGGCATACTCATGTACTCAGTTATATATTTCTCAACAGCAGCAAAATCCCAAGTTAATGGTTAACCTATGAGAAAATGCCAAATGTGTAGACAGGCTGATATGCCGCCTACCACCATTGAATAAATAGATTAAAAAAACCATGTGGTACGTGCGGGGGCACTTTGAAGGAAAAGTACAGTTCAAGACTTTCAGGAGTTAAAATTGAAGACAGTTTGCAGCCCCTCCAATCGCCAACACCCCGGACCCACAACTTACCAGTGTTATACCTTGAATTTAACAACCAGGATGCAAGTGCTTCAGCTAAAAATCTTTTCTATTAACAGTTTGTTCACCCTCGTTCACCTCTAGTCACATACTATTTCTATTTTCCCTTATTTCCAAGGATTGCCACACCTACTAAAGGTATCCTGCTGCTCAGTGAAGCCAGGTGCAGCTGAACCACCTGTTGCCCATCAAACGTCCCTCCCTATGGTGGCACCTTACGTTAGCTTGTTTTCATCCTCTGCCCATCATAACCAAGCAAAGACAGGCGTTAACGCAATGTTATCTTAAAAACCAACCATCAAAAAAAGTGGTACTTACTTCCATAGCGTGGCTTCTGTAAAGTTGAGGTTTCTTCATGGTACATCCTGCCTCGTTTCCTCCTCCACCTGTGAACTCGTCTGAACTGGAAATAACTTCAGCCTTCGAGCTAACGTTACAGCCACCAATATGCCGCGCCTCTCAGGAGATACTGTTATGAATGAAATAACTGGTGTAAATAACTGGGGAATTTAAAAATAAAACAGCCGAAAATGGCAGACAAGAATCTTCAGAAGTTACATGAAAGCGCCAAATGTCACTTGCGGCAGACAACCCCCATGCTGTGATCTTCTCAGGCTTGACTCCTGAACAGTGCTCCCTGGTCGTGTTATCTTGCCCCCGCTACTCTCTGAAATGAAATGATTGACGGGACAGGAGATGGAGATTTAGCACCTTGCACCACCTGCTGGTCAAAAGGTGGCACATGCTGCATTCACTGTCACTGGGGGAAAAGGGTAAATACCATCACCCTACTGCAGTACTGGACACGTCACTACGCTGTAGCTGTGCTTTAACTTCATACTCCTGTTCTGTTTTATTTTACGCTTTTAAAATCGTATCTATGTATTTTTTTATTCTGCTTTGTGTTTGCTTTTATATGTTAATCATTTTTTGTGTTATGTAAAAAAAAGATTGAATTGCCTTGTTTCTGAAAGGTGCCACACAGATAAACCTGGCTTGTAGCACCCAGTGTGACCCCTGTAGTAAAATACTGTCAGTTACAGATGGGCCATTGGTTTAAACTGTGAATAATTCCACATCTTCTTATGATAAATGTTCATCTAAAATATGTTTTTAGATATATGTCATTTACTCATCTTGAAATCAAGCAGGTTTGAAATAATTCAAGTCATTATGTATTGAAATCTTCTTAATATCAAAGTAAACTTTGAGGTCTTTTTTTTTAACATCTGTCTGTATTAATGAACCACTGCTGTCACAGTAAATTTTATCAGTTACTGTAATAATTTCAATATCTGAGTTCAGCCACTAGGTAGCAGCATTACTTTGAGATTGTGATAGAAGGAATCATGAGGGAAAAGTTTGCACTTCATGCCTGTGCGTAATTTCTCCCCAAAAATGTGTATTTGTTATGAAAAAAAATGCAAAATTAAGACATGAAAATCTCTATAGGTAAGTGCAGTAATGTAATATATAATGGAGATTAATTTTCTTCTGAGGTTTGACATATGGGTTGTGAAATAAAAGCACAACATCATCTGCTAGAGAACATAACTTTTATTGTATATATGTTCAAAAGCAGCACAGTCTGCAATCCCTGCCTTTGCAGTTTCAAACATTATTGATAGAGCATCATTTGGCAAATATTTCTTCACATATTTTCACACTTATGGACCTCTGAACATACAGCCCAGTCATCCTATGACTGACAGGCCCTTTACAATAATATACACAACTTTATTCTCCACATACATTTGTTTACCTCCATAAAATGGATGAACAGAACTTACAAGAGCGATACATTCACATTTTTCCTCAACAAAAATCTTAATATTGCCATTGTTTTCTGCCAGAAGAGTTTACAGTTGGAACGCAAAGTTGACCACAAAAGAACAGAAGTTTTCTTACATACATGCAAGTTGGTGCGCACGCGCACGCGCGCGCACACACACACACACACACACACACACACACACACACACACACAGAGAGAGAGTAGCAGGTGAACAGGGAGTCAGTGCCAAGGACACACAGAGATGTACAACAGAGATACAGTAGATGGACTTATCGCTTAGACAGAGCAGGAGACACATGAGTCAATCAGGGAGTTTATACACATTTAACCCAGAACTCCACCATAATCAGCTTTGATATGTACATAATATTTACACTCATGCATCCATACGCAGGCCCACACACACATACAGTTTCTCTCTCTTATACACACACACACACACACACACACATAAATATAGTACTTATAACCAATACCCCAAATACCTCAGACATAACAAGTAATATAGGCCTAATTTCCCCACAGTATAACACAACAGGTAGATCTGCCTCTAATTAAGGTTTTAACCAGAACCAGAACCATACAGATCACTCCTTATTGTTGCTACTGACAGCAGTCAGTGGCACTGGGCAAAAGTCATTGCTTTTGATATCAGTGCATTTACTTAGAATCTGTATGTCATACTTTTATTTCAAAAATATTTAAATCACATGGTCAAAAAATATCTGCTGTGCAATAGCAGCACACCTCGTTATGTATTTCCAACTGATTTGTCAAAATATGAGAAAAAGGTTTATGGAAATGGATGCACATATACAGTACCACTTTGGAAGCCTGTTTTTCTTTTCTTTTCTTTTTTTCTTGTTTTTTTGAGTAGCCTTGAAAGAGCCAACTGCAGTGCGAGGGCAAACTACCTCTATGCTGCAATCACAGATACCACAAATGCAGAGAAAAGCAGGAGAACACAAGCTGTGATAGCCACAGAAAATACAATCCACAAACACAAATTAAACAAGACTGTAAGCAACTGACTTTTTGTGTTTTCATATATACATATATTGACATTTTTCATACACATACATAATACACATATATATATGAAAAATGTCAAATTTCATACATATATATGAAATTGTCAATATAAATTAAAATTTTTAGAGGTTTTTTTAACACTTTGAAATTAGCGACATGATCTTATATTATCTTTATTATTTTTATCTTATTATCATTATCTTTAGCAGTATGCATTGAGGTTTCAATGTTGAAAGACAGATTACATAATAATTAGTACAAGGTAGGTATGTTTTCAAGTGTGAGATTATGGCAAAAGTAGATTTTTCACAAAATCACTACAAATGACAGAGCTCAAATTTATCATCTGGTTTTGTATTTGCACAATTTCAACAGTTATGCAAACACAATTTGAAATGAATTTTTCCAAGATAATTTAAGATACAAAGTCAAAAAAGCCAAAAAGTTTCCTTAGGAGACATTTTTGTCATGGGTGGCACAATTTTGCCCTGATTGTATACTTACTTACATTTTTACTTTTATAGTCATGCATGGTAACTTACACCGCTTGATCATGTTTTGGCTCATTGTTACCTTTTGTAACAACTGTTTTCAGGAGAGGCTTATCCCACAGGAATAAAAGTTCTATTAAAATAGGGATGTCTAACAGAAGAGATGAGGTTTAGACCAAAAATGAATTCACACCCTACTAAAATATTGTTTTGGCCACATATTTCACATATATTCACAAAAACACCATAATTATTTTATCTATGCACTTTCTATTCAGTTTCTGTCTGTTCCTTATAACCTTGGGACACTACATGACTATGGGCAGACTGCTCCAGTTAAGGAGAGGCACATTTAAAAAAGGCCATTCAGTATATTTAAAAGGAAACGGCATGACACGTCATTATCAATGTCACTGCCACAAGCAAGATCCAACACAAAGCTAACGAGAATCAGAAGGACAGCTCATCAGAGAGCCTTTGTACAATAATACACAGGTGGAAGGGGAGCTGGACTAACAACATTTGGATAAAGTGAATAATTCATCATTCCAACTTCCACAATAACACAGCATAAAATAAAATGAACATCCTCGGATTCAACATACAATACAATTATTGGTACAAGAAAATACAGTTTTTCAATATGGCCTTTTTGATTCTTGGCTGGGTAGGTAATGCAAAGGGCTTGGTGTCGTACTATGATCAACTCTGAAAAGGTTGCAGATGTCTGAGCAAATGTCATGTTGAGCAAAATACAGTATTGTGTGTACAGAATGATGTAAGTGCTGAGTGGAAAAAAAGTGTAGGTATATGTGAGTGTCAGTCTATTTTAAGACACATATTTGCACATAAAGTATGGGTTGACTTTCTGCAATCAGTCTACAACATGCCCTGTGCATGTGGGTCCTGTGGGCAAGCCAGCTGTCATACAGCTGTGTCGTGTGTCCGCTCTGTCTGATCATCTATTCCCAATGTTGTCAAACAGCAGGTAGACTGTGCTCATTACAGCTTGTTTTTCACTTTTCTCCCCATCTGGCTTGTCTTAATAAGACTGTATCAATATTAAAAGCCTCGAGCTTTAACCATGCAGTGACACCGCGAAAGGTTATAGCTGCAGCTGGAAGGTGCAACCCGTCACTGAACAAAACTCCATCAAAGTCTCAGTGCCAAAACTCTGTGCAAACTCCCAGCTCTGTCATGGGAACTCTCTAGACAGAACACTCACAAAATGATTGAGCTTATTATTGACTTACACAGAAAGTAAAGAGTTTGACTGATATAAAGTCAAACACACTATGAAAAGGTGGGTTGCTACCCGGATTTACTTAAGGTACATTTGTGAAATGGGATAACAAGTGTTAAAACATGAACAAACCAAGCAATTTGCATTCCTTACCCAACAATCCCTGGGCATCCTCTTGGATTCACCCAGGTTTTAACCAGGTTTTATCCCAGCCAATGAACGCCAAGCTGGTGTTACATGAGGACATTTGACTTAGTGTCAGGCAACCGGAGTACAACCAGGCCTCCACCGACAAGCACTGACGAGGCCATGAGGATGGGGATGGCCTTGGTGAGGCTGACGAGAGAACCAAAAATCAGGTTCCCCAGGACTGCAGCCAGCTTACACAGAGCGTTGCAGAACCCAAAGCCTGTTCCTCTGTGAGGAGAGAGAGAATCAAGGACAGAAGGGGGATCAAAAGAGAGGCAAATGAGGAAAGGTTGAATCACCAGCATGTTCTTGATTTATATGTCCATTGTATCTATATGCACACATAAATACCTGAATAAAAGGGTCTAAACAATGATATAAACAAATAATAACTCATCTGTATTATTGCTCACCTCCTGACAGTAGGGAATGACTCAGTAGTGACCACATCCAGGGAGTTCCAGGCAGAGATGCTCAGGCCGTTATAAAGGCACAACATGAAAATCATCATGGACTCAGTGGTGCCAAACCACAGGAAGAAACAGCTGATGCCTGAGAGCACCATGGAGCCACCTGATGGACAACCAAACACGAAGAGAGTGAAGGAGCAAGAGTTAGTGCAAGTGACATTCATTTGACTAATATACGACTAAATTATAGAGGCTTATAGAAATTGCCTCTCATACACAATGATGGATGCCACATCCAGAGCATGAATCATTTCAGCATCCAACAGTCAATGTGAAAACCAATTACTCAAGTGCACGCAAAAACATGAACCCCACCCTTATTCCCCCTTGTTCTTACTTAACATGGACAGACGCCCAATTTTGTCCATGAGAAGGGCGGACACAATGTTGCCGGGCAGAACAGCCAAGGTCCCAAGGAAGTTGATGAAGTAGACCCAGTAGGCGCTGTAGTCGTCATCAAATGTCATCTGGCATCCTGTTTTGTTGTGAGTGAATGTGCTGTTGACCACCTCTGTGCCATCTATCAATTTGGAATCATCGATGTCTGCCCAAAAAAAAAAAAAAAAATCACAATTTGGCAACAATAAAACAGATGTGATCACCTGTCAGAACTATGCTGTCTGTGACTTTGAGCAGACTATATTTCTTTTTCACCATGACACAATTTCACCTGATGAATGTGATAATCAGAAATGACTAAATATACCACTCAACTGTCTATTTATGTCCAAATAAAAGTTTAAGGAATCTTTAATCCTGGCGTCTCACCTGTGTTGTAGAAGAATGCATCAATGAAAGTACAGTTACGGAAGGAGGATCCCACTGATGTCACATCATCGAAGTAGCAGTTACGAAAGGTAGAGTCAATGAAGGTGACGGACTTCAACTTCATATTAATGAATCTGAAGAAACAGTTACATTCAGCTTTTAATATTCTATCACTTGTTATAGTGCAGAATTTCATTTAACTGCAGTGCATTTCAGATCCCAAATCTCCCTGTTTGTATTATACAAATATGTTCACATTTAATTGTAAGTACTCTATTAATTACGTTATAAACTAAACAATTATCCATAGGATTTTCCCTCCACTAATCCTGTTGGTAACTTGACCTACCGGTCATTAATGAAGAGGCCATTTCTGTGTATCTGGTTCTCCAGGGTGAAGTTGAAGGTGAAGTCTTCAATGCGTTCATTGTTGTGTATCATCACTTTGGAGGCATACTCATCAGCCTGAAGGTGTTTGATGACATCAGGGAACCAGACAGACAGGCCATAATACCTGAAACCACAATGATAGAGTGATAACAGAATCAGCTGATTAATCCAACAGCCAAAAAAATAGTCATAGGCACATACAGTACTTAAAGGTGTAGACAGACACAGGTGGAGAACCAGACAGACATGGTAGAACACCAGGGGAAACCTGTGGTTGTTGTTTGATTTTACAGTGTTTTCAGGCTGTTTCTTTTTCTTTCTTTTTTTATCTCTGTCTGCTTTCCGCCTGTCTCTGCTCCCACTGAGACACCAATGGACCAGTATTGATCCACAGACTGTGATTGATTTTGAGACCATGCAACTTCTGCACAGCAGAGAGATCAAGATGACAAAAGTGCAATATGGTCACAAGCCCGAACTGCCGACTGCTATTATCTGACCAAAGAAATGAAACTTGTCTGATTTTTCTGTGACACTTGTGACATCAGAAAGAAGCTCACCCGAATGAGAGCGTGAACCACACTATAGCCAGGCGTGTCATGTTTTCTCGCATAGGGTAGTTGAAGCACTTCACAAGATTCATATAGATCTAAAGAGAGACAAGAGACTTATTACACTTCATGTTTTCACAAAACAAATCTGGGGCTGTAGCTGTGGAAAGATATGAGTTTCAAAAGATAAAAAGTGGCTGACAAAAAAAACCTTCAAGTGAAATTCAATCAAAAAAAATAAAGAATTACCCCTTGTGTTTCAGCCTTTATCCTAAAGAAAACCTTGGAAACTGGATTGCCAGATTCTGATTCCATTTCAACCAGTTCATCCAGCTGTTTAGGGATCTTGATCCTGTTTACCTGCAAAATGAATTATGGGAAATTGTATAACAAAAATATTAACAGTATATTGCAATCAGTATAATCTATATTCAGACGATGTTCATTTCTTGACATAGCAGTGATAATGCAGCGTCATGATTTTTCACTTATTTCTGTGAAAGCACAACTATACATGATAACTAATGAAAATCAAATCAGAATCAAAAGGGTGAACATAAACAGCGTGTGCTACAGTACATGATCAATTCAAGAAACATGTGTTGACTAAGAGGCTTTCCCAAAGTGCAGCTCACGCAGCACATAAGCCTGAATGACACAAAACAGCTTTCAGAACCTTCATAATTCAGATGTGATCCTGCACAGTGAAAGCGTTAAAACCTGTCCCAGCGGTGGCAGAATATAAGCCTCTTTGCTTCCTTAAGCGTCAAGGAAACCCAGCCAAAGACAGAAACAAACACTCACAGTGAAGACTTTCTCCGGTTGCCCACGCGCTCTCATGTTGGTGTCGTGGATCTGTTTGAGGATCATCCAGGCTTCATCATGCTTCCCCACCTGACAGCAGGGAAAGTGAGGTGAGAGAGAGAGATATAAATTCATGGGATCAGCACCAGTCTCACTTACTCAGGGACATCAACAGTCTCACAGCCACAATCGTGTACACTGTACTTAAATACGCGCCTTTGATTTCTCCAAGATGGACCAAAATGATGAGAGTCACGACAACAGTGACTCACTTTACTTCAAAGGGTAATTATCCTGCAGCAGCAAACCTACTGTCACGGATCTCTCAGCTTCTGTTTTGCAGATGCATATAAGGCCTGTTTTGGGATGAGTCACATAGTTTCTGGTCTGATCTGTTGGGAAATGTCCAAATGCTCTCAATTTGCCTGATGTGTCTTTCTAGATATGGTCAGTGTAAAATGAATAAGCACGGACAGTCGGTGACAATGACACAGCACCATGATGCAGCATTCTCGAAGATACAGCTGTATCTTCGAAACAAAATCTGTTTACCTCGAGGTAGAATCTGGGGCTTTCGGGCATGAAGGTAAGTGCCACCACAGCACACACACAGGGCAGGGCACAGACGACCACAAACACCCTCCAACTGTGAAACTGGTACGCCGAGCCCATACTGAAGCTCCAACCTGCAAACGGTGGCACACAAAGGCAGTGACAATCACGTCAGATGAAGATGGATGACTTGGCAGAACAGGAAATGAATGCTTTCAAATGTCCAGTGAGGTCAATAAACCAAACCTGGTATGGTTAAAATTGTTCATTTGAGACCAATAATCCACAAATGTAAGCTGATGGACAGGAAGGCCATCATGATTAACGGTTCACTATATCACACTACATTGACATAAAGAGTAGACAAAATAATGTAAACACTAAAAGCAGCAATATTGTATTTTGTTTTGGTTCTTTTGGACACTTGGGGGCAGTGGAACAAGCTGTAAATATCTTATCGCTGGATAACGTTTTTGTGGTGAACTAATTTACACACCCAGCAGATACAGAGAAACAATAGCATTCATTTTGTAGTGCTATTTCTGGCCAACTGACAATGTTGAGTCCAATATTTACTGTCTTTTTTAGAGTTGTTTTTGTCCCCACCACCTGCTGAGGGAAGTATCTGCATCTTAACCTGCTTAATGCTCCACTATGTTCACCAGCTAGATGCTAACGTTGATGCTGCGGTGAGAGTGAACCAAAACAGTAGAGCTAACGGCCATAAAAGCAAAATGATGAGATATAACATGCTATAAAGCTGAGTAGAGCTGAGTAGGAGCTGCAGAGTCTGGTGGTAATAATGATGATAATTCTCTGTGGGTTTGTCACTACAAGTGACTCATCCCACATATAAGTGGTTATGTGGTCTACTGTTATTTTTTATAGCTGCTACCCATAAAGTTCTCTGATGGCAGCCGCTATTTCTAACAAACCAATACAATCAACTACAAGAGGCTGAAAGCTGTGATATACTATATATACAAGCAACATCTTTCACATTACACATAATCAAATTACATCATTTGATTATGTCAAAAAATATGGATTTGTACTTTTGTTGCTTTAACAAAAATAGACCACCAGTGCAAACATTGCAGCAACAGTTGACAACATTATGGTACATACTAAAATACTGGATATAGTATAATATACTGTATGTCTGCCATATTAATTTTGAATGGTTTCTTTTTTTCTTTTTTTTTTGTAGCTTATCTGTGTTTGGCACATTGTCATGAGTTGTCGGGATTTAAAAGATGTTTTGGCGTCTTCAGAGCTCTAGTTGTTGTCTCATGTTAATCTGAAAGCTCACAAATCAAAGTGCTGTGATTTTTTACACACACAAATGCTGCTAAATGACATTTAACATATTATGGCACTTCTTTTTTACCTAGAAGTGCTTGTATATCTACTGATGAATTATGCACTCAGCAAGTGGCTGTTTAGCCAATCTTCAACTCACAGGGGCATAATAAAAGTAAATATGATTACTTAATAAGTCTTGAAACGATGCTTTGAAGAAGCAGTGCCTAAATAATATTAGACTAGTGTATAATGTGGCAGTGTACATCCTTATCAGAGGAGGGACTGGGCCACTTGATCTGAGAGGCTGATTCTAAATGTTATGCGTGAATCTCATACTGCGAACACAAAGGGGCTGCAAATAAAAGATGGCATTTAAACACCAGCGCTGCACGGCCCGAGCAGAGTGAAGTGTAAGCTCGGAGATGAATGGCTCTGCAGGGGGAGCTGAGAGAAGTGCACAGGGACGGGTTAATTGAATGTGTAGGAAAGGAATTGAGTGTTTTCTGCTAAGTTAAATCTTGTTGCACCTGATCTCAGCCCACAGGCACTCTCCCAGACTCATTAATCATTGTAACACACACACACACGCATGCACAGACATACACTCGCACAAAAGGGGGAGATGCACACATGCCCACACATACACACACACAAAAAAAAGGAAAAAAAAGCAAAGAAATTAATAACAGGAATTACCATATGCAGATGACACCGACACCACTAACATAATGCCATAATGCCATATTACCACCTGGATAAATATACAAGTAAATACAGAAACATACATACAAAACTATGCATCATACATTTTCCTTTTCCTTTTGAAAAATGACATTTATTCTCAAAGCATTTTCTAAACCGTTCAAGTGGAGAAAAGAGAACTGATTTTTTTTTTTTTGCAAGAAAACATCCTAGAGTTAGAAATAATCAAAGGCTTGAAATTGGTGCCAAGTTGCACAAACACACAAACAACCTTATTCATGGTTCTTTCTTTCTCTGTCATAGAGGTACAATCTTCAAAACAAAATTGTCACTAAACTGACAGAAGATGTTCAACTGCAGACCTTAAAAAGGGCGAGGCTGACTATAAGATTACATTCAGAGTAATGCTGTAATTTAAATTTAAATATGTGGAGGTATGTTTTGTCTCTCCAAGTATTTGACGCAAATGCCTTTTTATGTACAAAAGTTTATTGCATATTGTGTGTGTAAAAGTTACAGAAAGGTATGGCTGTGATGTAACTGAAGTGGAACTAAAGTACATACGCAGTAATGCCAGGACCAGCCAGGATGAAATCACAAACGTACTCTACATGTAGGTCTGCATTTGTGCTCTCATTGACTTTATTTTTTTAGAATTTTTGGGAGGAAGCACAGAAAGGGGTTGCCGTGTCAGTCGTGACCTCCCACGTCTCTCGACAGATCGTGCCTCATGGAGATGCTGCTCCAAAGGGAATAGCACCATTATTCATCAACAGGCGTAGGAGAGGAGTCAGAGAGTGGGGGGGGGGGGGGGGGGGTTAACACTAATGGTTATGCCAGATAAACGCTGCTATGTATTAATCTCACAGCATATTAAAATCCGGCTTTGATAGCAATGCATATCAACTGCTAAAAACAACTATTTTCAAAGGAGGGTGGGCGTCTGTCATAAGTGATATAATATATGCATCCCAATAGAGATCAGAGAGATGAAAATGTGTCAGTAGAAAGGAGAACGGAAACAAAAATGATTAATGTAAAGCAAAAGGAAATAATTATAATATTTAATTAATATTAATAATATTTTAATGTACAGAAGACAATACAATGTGCAAGAAGAACAGAATACATTTAATGTTTTCCTTGGCCAGTTTAAAGTTCAGCTTTTGTGCTAAGTAACAACATAGACAACGTACATTGGAAGTGAGTCTATGACTGGGTTTCACTCTCATAGTGTCTTTTGTTGGACAGCAGGAGTAATGACTTTCGTAGACGATGTCTCGCCTGTGTGTATTCCTGCTTTCTCTGTGTGTGTGTGTGTGTGTGTGTGTGTGTGTGTGTGTGTGTGTGTGTGTGTGTGTGTGTGTACGTCTGGAGTGACTCAGAGTGAGAGAGAGAAATGAAGAGCGAACGAGACAGCAAGAGACAGAGTAACAGAGAAAGGGAAGGAGTTGTTCAGCAGTGATTGCCTTTTCTACAGATATGTAGCGTGGCTTCCTGCCCCACAGGGTTAGTGTTTCACCCATGTCACTGGAAATCTCATTACAGGGATTATGTACATAATTGACTAAGTCTATGGATGACTGAGTCAGCAGTGCTACACTACTCCCAGGCCTAGATACTGTGGATAGATAGATAGATAGATAGATAGATAGATAGATAGATAGATAGATAGATAGATAGATAGATAGATAGATAGATAGATAGATAGATAGATAGATAGATAGATGCCTTTCAAAGATAATAAGTTACAAGTAGAGAAGATACAAGTAATTGTCAATAATGTGGAGTCCACCGGGGGTGTTTAAACTTGAATCTGTAGATCTGAGCAGTGTCTAATGATGGAGCTCCACTGGTGGGCTTGCTTGGCAGCAAGTAAACCCCTCAAACTCTCCTGTCAGCGGGATGAGGATCTGTGCCAGGCGGACCTGCTTCAGGACTCCAGCTGTGAGTCTGGCAGGGAGGCTTTTGGGAGACATTAGAAGTCAGCAAGTGGAGAAGATAAATGAGAGCTCTAATGGTGTATTAAACACCCAAACCGAGGCACTTGTATCATAACCCGTCGCTGATGTCATTCTAAGACATAAAGGTATCTGTGCAGGAGGCGTTTTCGCCCCCATCGTAGCGCTGTTGGTTGAAGCCAGTGCAGCACTTTAGGGAAAACATAAAAAACCAGTGGTGAGCGCTGGAGTATGTATGCAAGACACGTAGTTCCCTTTTAGAGAAAGAGAGGCAGAGTGGTATTGAGTGTCTGAGAGAATAAGAGCAAAGTGAGGCCACAACCATCCCTTCAGTACGATATCAGCAGATCTGACAGCAGCGTTTCTTCATGAGGACTCATTCTGGTTTCAGAGGGTTTTGGGAGTCCTTCACCAGTGTGCTTCTGCACATCCATGTGAGCAGATCTAAAGCGCTGTCTGCATTTGTGCATGTGTGTATGCATCTCCTTGAGTAAGGTGTAAGCTATTAATCAGAAACTCCATGATTAGATATGCAGTGTGTGTTCTCATGTGCCTTTCTGTGTGTGTGTGTGTGTGTGTGTGTGTGTGTGTGTGTGTGTGTGTGTGTGTGTGTGTGTGTGTGTGTTAACTTGAATGACCTCTTACAGTGTCAGATGTTATTGCCTTCAATTTCCCTTGAAGAAGACCTGTATGTGGCTGCAGCCCAGTAAAACATCATCCACGCCACTTACAGCAACAAACACACACACACACACACACACACACACACACACACACACACACATGCGCACTGTCACTCTCTCCCTGACGTCACAGGTTGGCGAAAGCATGGTCTGGCCATAAATCACCTCTAGCTGTAGCTTTGTCCCATTAGAGCAAGGAGAAAAACCTAATTATGCTTGATCAAGAAGAACACTCTGCAGAGACAGAGAATGGAGAGAGAGGAGAGGTAATAAAAGGAAGGACAGAGTTAGGCAGAGAGACGGGGAGAGTACAAAACAGGAGGAGAGAGGAGGCTGTAAAAGGAACGGACAGTAGGTTGGGGGAAAAAAAAGCATGAAGTAGGAAAAGAGTAGAGGAAGAAAGCTCATTCCCTACTTTTTGTTTCTTTTCTTTATGAGTCCAGCTGATATCTAACGCAGTGTTGTCATAAATCACCCTATCCCTTTCAGCATGTATCTGCACCGTGGGATCCATGCATACGTTAATCTCTTAACCTCTGCCTCTCCCAGTCTGCAGCCACTCAAAGCTATTAAGTGATTGATTCTCATGGCAGGGAAAACTGGCACTTCTACCCACGGCCACAGGGAAGCCTTGCAGTTTTGTAACCTGTAGTAAGGAGCTTAGCATGAAGTCACGTTGCCAAGCATCTCATCAATATTGTTACATATAATCCTGGCAAGGCTTTCACAAGACATAACTTTAAGCATTTCTTTCTTTACTATAAAGCACAATCCAAGGAATAGTGCCATTTCCAGATGGGTGTATGTGTAACACAACATTTTCTAGCTGGTAAACTCACCATAGTGTGGTATGATGGCCCAGGCCATAGCAGATGCATAGATTTCTCCAATCATCCAGAACATACACAACCAGCTGAGGTGTTCTCCTCTCTTCTCCCTGGACAACACCTCTGCAAAGAAGGAGAAAACGATGGGCACAGCGCCTCCTATCCTGCAAGAACCAGAGAGAATGGGAAAGTGAGTGGGAGTAAGGCAGGTGGAGCCACAAACAGGGCAGAAACTGAACTTGATGAATCCTTAAGGTTTACTTTTTTCACATACAGTAGTTGCATTTATGATTGCTTTCACATGCTTTGCCTTCATCCCTCAGTTTGTGGCCTTATTTCTTGGATTGTTTTCCTTTAAAAATGGGATTAATTGAAAGGTCATTGCACAGACTACAAAGGAGACAAAGTAAGCAAAAAATAAGCACAGCTAAGAAAATTTTTTTTGTTTTTGCCAAAACATAATCCAAAAAAATCCCGTAGTGCCAGTTCCTCATGTTTCAGTGGCACAGTTCGAATTGGCAGTTTAGAAAGCCTTTTCAATTACTCTGAAGGACTCTGAGGAGAATGAAGGAGCCGCAATTACTAAATTAGCTCTTAAAGGAACAGTTACCCTGCCAAAGAAGAGGACACAATAAATCACAGTGTACACCACGTTCCTATGTCGCAAGAGGATGACACACCATCTATCCTTTTCACACACTCTGGTTATTTTAAGAGATTCTAAGATTTCAAGACGTTTTCCTCATGCAGTGAGGATGCCACTGCCACTGGCTTTAACATTGTCTGTTAATAGTTCTTACTGCTCTGCATCCTAAAAGCATAGGACAATAACATTAATTTAGCTGGAAAGGAAACTTAACAGATGGATGTATAGTAAACCTTCTATGATGAGGAGTCAGAATCTTAGAAACTTTCTGTATAGAGCAGTGAGAGAGAAAAACAAGCTCTAAGTAATCATTTAAGGAAATTGCTTTGAGCTTTTTTTCAACAACTCTGACAATTATTCAGTGGAAGTCAACGAAGGGAGTAGTAATTAGTAGGGACAGAACACGTCTCTGTCCCTCCTAATTACTACAGGAAAACACTCTTCAAATAGATTTTGCCTCATAGACATGAATTCTTTACTTTGACTGATGTAGCCCTGGTGCATACATTTAGATAGTGTGACCATCCTGTTACCAGAGAGGATTTTGAGGTGTACCACTTGACTGAACTTTCACAGATCATCTAAACCGACGGCTTGCCATCCTCGTTCGGCCCCAGAATGACCTCCGCTGTATCAGACTCACCCGAAGCCTGCGACGAGACGGCAAAGGAGGAACAAGCCGTATCCCTGGACAAAAGATGACAGGAAGGCGAAGAAGCCATTCGTGGACATGCAAATGAGGAGGCACTGTCTGCGGCCCACTTTGTCAGACATCCCTCCCCAGAAGAGCGCCCCCACCATCATCCCCAAGTAAACAACACTGCCTGGAAAGAGAAGGAGGAGAGAGGAGCCTGATTTTTTGTTTGCCTCAATATACAGTGCATCACCTCACATTTCTATATTCCTGCATGTGCATATGTTTGACTGAGTTTGTACACTTTGGTCTCAAGGTTAATAAAGGTGATTTTGGTGCCAGTGCTCTCATCAGTCTTTATCACTACATTCACTACAGTCTTTTTTTCACGTATAATTTGCTTGAATATATATATATATATACATATATATTCATTCATACTCAAGCAAATCCAAGCATATTATACGTGACATATATAGGAACAGTAATACCATCATCATTATCATTATTATTAATTATTATTGGAAATATCCTGCTTGTTAGCTGCTAAAAGCTCCATGCTAACCATGATGCTGATGAGAGGTGAGAGTTATAAGATGCTATAAAGACCACTAGGGATGAGGGGAGCTGCGGAGTCATTACGAGATACACCTCTTTAACATGTTCATAGTTACTGACATGCGACATGAGAGGAAGTCATCTGCTGCTAACCACTGATTTTAACAAAGCATTTCAGCCAAAGAGCAATTATGTGTTGCTAATAAGACGAAGTGGTAAGAGCAGCTACGACAGACACTCGTTCACTACTGACAGCTTGAACAGATGATCTTCACAGGTTTGCATTTTTCACTCTTATAATCACTATTTACCATAAAATAATACTCATTGTAGTGAATGTCAACTTAGTGGGATCAGATTTTGAAAATATCTCAGCCTAAGTAGTCAAAGTCACCCAACACTGACTTTCAGCCAAGAAGCTTTTTTAGAAATCGTTTCCTCCAAATGTGCCTCTGCTGGCAAATGGCGAAGTGTCAAATTAAAATATGGAGCCACATTAAGCTTGTGCCTCCATTATTGCTGAATGTTCATCAGTGAATTGGAAGTTATGTTCAGTGACTGACTCCATATGGAAAGCTACGTTTATAGATGATCGTGCTGTTTTAAAAAGGGGACAAATAGATTAAATAGCTTCTAGATGTAAGTGCTGATATCACTCAAAATATTTTATAGTTTAACACACACACAGACACACATTCCCCAAGATATATATCATACCTATTCTCTCTAAATTAAAGCCACAGTATTCCTACTAATCTGACTGGATCCTAAAAATTGACTGATGACAATGAACCTGAAACCCAGTTGGAAAATCTTCGACCCCAGTAACACACTCTATCATTGATGAGTAAATACAGTGTGTAAAGGACTGAAAACAGGCTCAGATCAATGAGGAGACAAATGTGAACAGTAATACAGGGTGACTTTACAAAAGGGCCCTCCGTACTCTTTGAATCTCTCTCATCACAAATGGGATCAATGCACCAACAAAACAGCATTGATTTCTCCCTCTGATCACCATGAATCTGCTCTGGAGACAGGAGCCTATTGTCACTGCTTTAGTCCGAGTCATATCTGGCATTGTGTGGTTAGCAGTCTTCATGCAAAGAGCAGCTTCAACTGCATTTTCTTTTCCCATTTTGAAATTCCTTATTTGAGATTTCTGTTCCAGGCTAAAACACTGAATATTTCACTAACAGACAATATTACAGACACATGAAGGCATATAAACATAAACCTGAGAGGATATTTGTATTCATAAATATATGAACTAAATAAATCCACAGAAAAAAGAAAAGAATGCGAAAGTGGCAGTCATACATGGAGTGATATGACTCAGCCGTGGGGACACTCTGTTCATCCCATTACAATAATCTTAACAGCGAGATGCGTTTCCTTCCTGTAATGTCTGCAGTCAGGTTTCTTCTCCTCTGCTGTGAGCAGATATCTGTTTGACTCTCTCGCTTCAGGGGTCAAAACCCAGCTATCTGTCACATTTGGCAGCCATCTAGATACTCGCCTGAAGGTACCATAAATTCAATTCTAAATTTAAAGGAAGTCTTCAGTCTACGCACAGTTCAAATTTGCTTCATTAAGGAGAGGCTAGAAATACGGTGCGCAGGCAAACACCCACTGGCCACGCATTTAAATGTCATGCATCCAAACATCCAGAGGGCCTTTCATTTTGTTTCTGCACTCAACTTTTCATACAAACAATAAACAGTTTTTTTTCTTTTTTCTTTTCGTTTTATTTTTGGGGGGGGGGTTAGGTTTTTAGAGAAAAAATCCAACAAAGAAAGAGCCTCTGATTCCTGCTATTTTAGTACCCTTAAAAAAATAAAGTAATAACACACTGACTAATGAGTACATCCCTCACAGGACAGTCTATTACGTAATGAATTTATTGATGTTCTGTCCGACTTGCTGCACGGCATCTCGGAGAGCATGATGTCAGCAGTGCCTGCACCAGGAAAATGGAAAGTAGTGTAGTATATAATCCGAAAATAGCACAGACATCCCTTAACATTATGAGGTCTGTCTCACCACCAAAAGACCAAAGAGTGGTTTGCGTAGCATTAACCTGTCATGTCAGAGAATTATGGCACATATTCCAACATCGTCTTGTCTCCTTTGCCTCATTTCTAATTTGTTTCTGAGTCACGCTCCGCATTCAGTGTAACATCGGTGTGATACAGTCACATATTGTATAGCGCTTGGACTCCTACCAAGCAGTTACCATAATATTTTACTCCAAAGTAACAAATGACTCCTCACATGCATCTGCTCATTGGATTACGGAAATGTTTTTTCTTTGTATACTTTTGTCAAAATACAAAGCTCTTTAAAAACCAACATGGAAAAATTAGATTACTCCTTACTCCATGTTGGCAACACATAGACGTTACCTTCAGTGACAGTAACATGTGGGTGGTTGTCACAGTTAAATGTCTTGAAGCCTAAATAGGATTTTCTATCTTTTTAAAGGTAACAGACAATCCACTGGTGATGGAATATAACAACCCGGGCTTTTGACTAAAACTGCTGTCGTCTTCAAGGTCAGGTTTTCAGTTAAGCATTGAAGGATCTGCCCATGGACCCAGCTGACACAATGCAATGTTTCAAAGGTTATCCTATCCTTGCATTGATATATCTTTAATGATAATATTTCTTCTGCGTCTTTACTGGGGTGGAGGTTATGTAATAGTGTTTGTATTCCTATAAAATGTGTTCAATATGAATAAATCAACGTAATGGTAAATAAATGTTCTGCATCTGATGATCCCCACAAGCCAGTTCACCCATGTCACCCATGAAATGTTTCAACATTTCATTAGACTGATGCTGAGTCTACAGTCAATCTGTCAATAGAACACATTGGAAATGATAAGGCTGGACCACAAGAGCTTCAGCTAGAGTATTTTAATTAATGAAACCCCTTCACCGAGTTCTTTCACCCGCTACTGCCCTGTCATTGATTTAGTAGAGCCATCCTTTCTCAGGCCTGCAAACTAAGAGGAGTGGTGCAATCAATAGACTTCAGTTCGGCCTAATTCTAAGACTGAAATTTCGCCTCTGAACTTGCAGAAGGAGTGAAATGTAAAGGCTTGGTTTCCTGCAGAGGAGAGATGTACATCGATTAGACGCGTTTAGAAGCAAAAAAATATTCCTTGAGCAGATGCCAGCTGATACAAATTGTCTCGCCATAAGAGTGTGAAATACAGCTGAATTTAGACTTGATGACCCATATAGACTCTGAGCACCATCAGAAAATGACAGTGTGTCAGGAGACCTCTCAGGCAGAAGCAAAAGGTTTTGCCCCATGACACTCTGTTGAGATGTCAAAACACATCTCCAGGAATGGTAAATATTCAGCAAAATCAAAGCCACACTCTAAAGACAAGACAAATTTCAAGGCGTTGTTCTTTTAGGCTAAGATATGGAGCATAACATAACACACACGCACACACACACACACACACACGCACACGCACACGCACACGCACACGCACACGCACACGCACACACACACACACACACACACACACACACGCACACGCACACGCACACGCACACGCACACGCACACACACACACACACACACACACACACACACACACACACACACACACACAGGACCAAAGAGTAAATCTAATTCATAGATTAAAATATTTCAAATACATTTAATCTTTTCTGGTGAGGCTGAACTGGCCACTGAGGAGCTGAGGATGAAGGAGGGAAGATAAAAAAGAAAAAAGAAAAAAGAAAATTTATGCGGGAGAAAGCACAAATGCAAGCGGATGAAATATGCGAGCAGCAGAAGAAAGAGCAGAGGCAATGAAGGAGTTTGAGGGTGACAAAAGAGAGAGAAAGGTAATGAGGGAGGAGAGTTCGGTAATTGCTGGATTGGGTGAGAGAGAGAGAGTGAAGGGGGGAGGAAGGGGAAGGCCCTGGTGCAGTGTTTTCTGTCCTGTCACATCCTGAGGAGCCCCCTGAGAGCCGTGGGAGCGCTGAGCTGCATCACGACCTCTTCTCTGATTTCATGCTTTGATGCTCTTCGCTCTTAGCGGTGCAAACTGTTTCAGCGTTGCGCAAAAAAGCCCCCAAAAAAACCACCCGTCCTGTTTTATTCATAGTGATGATACTATCATACAACAGCATGCCTGGTGCGCACTACGTCTACACAGTGGTACCTCTCTCTGTTTGAAAATGTTCTTCTCCTTCTCTCTGTTTCTCTCCATCTCCTCATTGCCACTCATTTCATCCCCTCTCCTTTTCCCTCACCTCTCCTCCCCGTTTTCTTTCCAAACCTTTCCTCCATTTCTCTTTTTTCTCAGCTTGCGTCTTCTCCTATTGCTTTCCAATTTCTTGGCTCACTTCTCATTTTTCCTTCCTCCCTTTTCTCCCCTCTCTTCACTCCTCTTCCTCTGTCTTCTCCTCCGTGCTTTTCCCTCTCATTTATTTGCCTTAGTTTCCTCTTTGCTCCACTGTCATCAGCTCCTTTACACTGAGCAGCGTGTAATCACATTTGTACTACATCGTGTCAGTTTGATCGGATTCATGCCTCCGTCCTCTGCCACCTCCGCAGGAAAAGAGATTGAAGCTTTTTGTCATATTTAAGTCATATCAGTGGGGGCAGGATTTCAATGAAATCTATATGAGAGTAACCTATTGTAGGGCTGCAAGTGCAGGGTTTAAAATGACTCACTCAGCATCAGTAATGATCCAACCTTCATTACATTAAAGACTGTGGATAATTCGCATGAAATACAGTGATGCTATGGAGCTGTGATAAGAGCGAGCAGTTAGACATGGTTTACTTGTGGCTGATATTGCTGGTGGCAGCAGGTTTGGTCCATATGCGCGCTCAAATGTGCACACACTCAGTCCCGTCACACACTCCCCCTTCTTCCTCTCCCACACAATGTGGAGCTGCACTACTCAAGTAGTGTAATCTCCGCAGTGACGCTGCGATCTTACTGCAGTTTAGCCACGCTCAGCTGCCCCTGGACCACGCAGCCCCACATAGCCTGCCAGCTGGTTCCTACGCACAGGGAGAAAGACGGGGGAACGATAGGGGAAAAAAAAGGAGACAAAGAGGGAGAGAGGTAATGTAGAGATGGAGCTTGAGAGGAGACGGAGAGTGAAGCTGGGACACAAAGAAAGAAGCCAAGAAAGAAAGGAAAAGGTACGAGAGATCAGAAGACAGGGAAGTAAGGACGAAAAGAAGAAGAAGGAGGGAAAGTAGATCGGAAACGAGAAGGGAAGGAGAGGCATCGACGGTAGAGAAGAAGAGGTGGCTGTTAAATGAAAACGAGGAGAGACAAGTTGAGAGTGAGAGAGGAAGAAATGAGGGGAGTTAAAGCAGGGAAAAGACAGCCTAAGAGAACAAATAAGTAATGATAGGGTGATGCGTTCCCATTGTCTGTTGTGTCTGAGATGATAGCTAAGCCTCTCCCTAACATTGTTGGTGTGCTGAATACCACCAATCTTCCACCTCTCTGATCCCATCCACCCACACCTCTCTCCCCATTACTCCTCTCTAACTTGGCAATCTTTCTGCTTCAAAGCTGTCCCTCCTCCTCCTCCCTCCTCTCCCCTGCTCATCACACATATTGCGTTTCACAGCGTTCGTTTTCCCTCCTGCTTCCTTCCCACATCGTCCACTCTCATTTAAAGTGTTTACAGTATGTCACCACCTCCTATACCCCCAACTCTCCGTCCTTCATTCCCATGTAGCGTTACAGATTCCTGCGAGATCTGGATACTGGTGGGACCAAATTGAATTCAGTAATCTAATCAGCATTTTAGTCATCCATCCCATCCCATTACACTCAGCTCAGTCCGTGCAGCTTGCGTCTGTCTCCGCCTGTTATATGGTTAATGGAGCTGCACAATGCAACTATGATGGGAGTCCAGCTCAGGTGGAACTAACCATACACCAAATGGCTCTTTGAGAAACTCTGTAATTCAAATGATTCTAGACTGTGAAGTGAAATTTCTAATAAAATGAATAATTTCTTGTTTGCCGAGCAACTGTGTTTTTGAAAGTTTGATTTATTTAAAAGCTATTAGTTTGGGGGGGGAATAGGGATTTTTTTTTGTCTTTTATTCCTCTGGAATGGCCTGTTCCACTTTACTGCTGACTCCATCACTGGTCATGTCAACAGCCACATGCCTCCGCTGAAATACCTGCCGTTTACCTGCACGCAGGAAACCTGGTTAGATTTTCCTGTGTAGTTACCTGGTTACTGTAAATCTAGGACCTTACTTTGGTTGAAGTATTACTTCACTTACCTTTACTGTAACAGTGATATAATACGCAGTAAGAAAACAGACTCTGTAGTGAGAGTACACAGCTTTTCCTCTCAACACAAATGTGTCTGATTTGCACAAATAGTCAAAATTCCAGCTGTGGAAACCGTGTACTTTGTGTTAGTTTCAGCTTTAATTGGACATTGGATTGACTGATTTAATGCTTGATGATTTCTCCTTTCATCTTCAGTGATCAAGTCTTTGTCATGCACCTGCTCACACATAAAAAGCCATTTAGACAAATGGTTACATGTATACCAAGAAATTAGCTTTTGTCTATCTGGGGAAATCAAGTTTCTCTAATCCCAGATCCCAATTACAGAAACCTTGTTTCTTGTATATTTACATTTACATTTACTCATTTGGCAGATGCTTTTATCCAAAGCATGAGGGACATCACTAGAGAGCTTCAGTGCAGTAGGAGACCTTGGCCTAAGTAATACATCTATTTAATAAGTGCAAGGAGATCTATATATAGTACAGATATAGAGTGTCACAAAGAGGGTGTAACACAGGTGGAAAAAAAACCTTGTTCGTGCAGCAACAACCAACCAGTAGGAGCCACTGTGGCGCAGTAACAAGGACATGATCTTTTACCGACTTTCCACATGTGGAATCTGCCAAGTGTGTTAAATTGAACATACAACCAAGCTGCAGGTACCACTGCTAAAACTGTCCCCAGATCTCATGGTGGGAGGTCTAGCCCTTGTGCCTTCTGAATGCTATTCTTTATCACCACCACCAGACCACCATGAAGACGACATCTTATTGTAAGGCTGTCATTGCAATATAAGAACGTTGTTCTGCTCGGTTAAATAAAGGTTATATTAAAATAAAAAAAAACATGTGAAAAACGAAACCACCCTAATCAAAATCATCGACAGGTTTAACTGGCTGTGGTTTATTTCTGCACTTCAAGGCAATAAAATATTGCCATGGCACCTGTAAGACATCCACTCACCTCATTTTGTTGGCTGTAGTTAAGTGTAATTACTCCGGAAAACTCCAAATGGATAGCAGCAAGGTCATAGTAATCATGTAGGCTATGCTCAGACATGCACACGCACACACACACACACACACACACACACACACACACACACACATACATACACACATACATACATATACACACATACAAAAAAAACACCAATCATGTTCACCTCAACGGGGAGGAGCCTCAGGGCAATCAGAAGGAGAAAGGAGAGGAGAATGGGGGAGGATGGGAGAAGAAAAGAGAGGCACATAGAATGGAGGGTGAGAGGGAGGGACGGGGGTGAGGGATGGAGTCACGAACAAGGAGAAGCAGAGCGTAGAGCATGAATGCCTGCAGGACTTTGCTTGGTTAGAGAGGAAGAGAAGAGTTTACGTGGATACTTGGAAAGAGACAGAAAAATGAAGTCACATCCTGTGAGGATTTAACAGTGACTCCTCACAGACATATGCTATTAACAAACTGTTTCATCATGTCAAAATAATATTTACACTCCCAATCTGAGCAATCTGTGTATTTACTATCATATAGATGCAATAAAGCAATAATTATTGACTTTTTGTTATCTGACAGGGTTAAATAAACAATTTTGTATATACTGTATACTGTAACTATAATCTAAATTATGATGATGATGAAAATATAAATATTTCACACCTGGCAGGGTGTGTAAATTTCTTATTTTACACATTTACCCACTATAATCCAAATTTGTTCACACTTTCTGTCACAACCTCCAGTCTCAAAGAGGCTCTGCCATATCAATTTTGCATCAGATGATGCGGTACAGTTGATGCATTGTCATGTCTCACTGTGGCAGTTAGTATCTAAGGTCTGTGTGCCTGATTTAATGTCCTCGCCACTCTGGCACAGACACAGTGAGTCAGCCCCCTGTACACAGCTCTGTGGTGATGGATTATACACCTACAGCCACGGGCCCTGCTGGGACTCCTGCTCAACACACAGAGCACACAGGGAATACTAGCTGCCTTCTTAATCCTGACACAGAGACCAGTGGACCGAAACACCTCATCCATGTGAAACACGACTATAGGATAAAGTGTGACGCGTAAAGCGCAAATACACAGAATTATTCTTTTATCTTTTCTGTCAAACGATACCCCACAGGAAGTAGTGTGGCCCCACCCAAACCATGACTTTCATTAGTAACATGTTTATGCTTGGAAAATACCGAGTACTCTTACTGCATACTATTCAGTATGTAGAATGCATGACAATTACACCTTTATATTCAAGGGCGGCCACACCACCAGAAAAAATTAAGTTATTTTACCAAATAGGTCCTCTTCTGAGCCAAAAACATATTTTATGATCAAATAGTTAAAATCATATACTGATGTTTGCGATCTTGTGTTGCAGCTCATCCTGCTCAATTATCCATCATACTGATTGGATAATGTCCTCTGATCATGTGGACCTAGAGTGGGTGCAGCACCAAAAACACTGAAAGCCACATTTTCTGCATTACCTTCCTGGTAAACGCACGTCTTTCACACTCCATGCCACCGACATGGCTTTCTTCTTATAAATTTGTAGTCTCCAGGCCCAAGCTAATATGACATCATCAGGGTTATTTTCTCCCCTTCATCATTTTAGTCCATGTTGTATGCACAGCCATACATTTTACATGCAGAAGTTGCATTGCAAGTATTAGGTGTTTTAGCACGTGCAATTTAATTAATATTGAAGGAACTGCATTTTTTTTCCCCACAGTAGATGCACGGCACACTCGCTCACACTCAACAACACACACAGGCTTCCCTTACCTAGCCATCCCGAGCTGGAGTTGGGCACACACATGTCTGTCTCTGCGCTGGGCAGCACAAAGCCCACCACGAACACCTCCACCCCATCTGACATGAGCGCCAGCCCGAGCACCAGGAACAGCTGCCACTGGAACCTCCCGTGGCCACACTCCTGGATGATCAGCTCGTACTGCTGGGCCAGCTCCTCCTCGTCAGCCTGTCTCTCCTGCTCCAGCTCCCTACGGTCCCTTGTGGCATCTGACATCGGCTGCCCCAGTGCCACCTGGCCCTCCTTATGCTTGCTATCTCCTGCCGAGGGGATCCCCTGGTACTCGCCCTCGTAGATCTCATCCTCATCATCGTGGCCCTCTGTGGCATCGCTGGAGCCATCCTCGTTGTCATGGTAGCCCTCTCCATCCTGCCTCGGGGGGTTCCGGTAGAAATCCTCGTCACCGTCCTCCTCATCCTGGAATCGGCTGTAGTTGCGGTGGGATGAGTACTCGTCTGTGGCGCGGTCCACCGCCTTGTTGACTTTCTTGGTTGCATGCCGCTTGGCCTCCTTGACTATGTCCTTGGCCCCCTTAACCAGAGAAGTCCTGTTATTGTAAGTGTCCTCCATTCTGGCTCCACCGGTAGGTCTTCAGGGGGGTTCAAAGGATACTTCGAAGTAGAAGAAAGAGGGAAGAGGGGCAAGCTGATGGGAGGATTGCAAGAATGGTGAGATCAGTGGGTCTCAAGATGCAGCAGGGAAGGAAACTCTTGAGTCTGCAGTCACCACAGGAGATAACCCACAATGGCTGTGGCAATCATTGGCCGGGCTGAAAGAGATGGGGGAAGGGTAAGAGACAGACAGATAAAAAAAAAGAGAGAGAGAACGAGAAGGGACAGGGGAGAGATCAGAAAGGAAAAAGAAAGAAAGTAAAAGAGAGGGAGATGATCATCAGATAGTGCCCGTAACTCATGTCTCCCCCCGCTACATTCGTAACTATCCCAGACTAACAGGTGACATTGCAGTGACAGCACATACCCTCTTTAATCATTCACTGGCCATTCTCCCAGGCCTTTTAATCATCCAGAGTGACGTGAAGAAAAAGGCTTTGGCTGTATAGTGTTCAGTATTTATTCAAAATGAACATTCAATTTCCAGGGGCGCTCTCCTTGTTCTATATTTCATGAGTTGACCGTAGTTTTGGAGAGATGAGCATTTTAAACGGAGATGCTGAATCTGCTGACTCATGATCAGCTCTGAGGAACAGAAGCTAATAAACAAGGCTCTGCTCAAAATCAATTTGCCCCCAATAAAGAGCTGGTTTATTATAATGGGAGTGACGATCCAACCAGAACGGCACTGTCATATTTAATCCGTGCAAAGGAAGGAGGAAAGAAGAAATGGTCACATGTGGATACAGAGATAAATGCACGCTCTGACACACACACAGACACACAATACTTATTCTCTAAGGCCTCTAATTTTGTGCAGGAAGCACGCATCAACAGATACACACACATCTCAAACATGCTACGCACACATGTGAGTGTGCGCACACGCGGCATGGATGGGGAAGCCCTTTCCCATCTTGGCAGACCAGCTCTGAGGGGAGGGAGACCCCCCCCCCCAGCCCAACACTGTGAATGATGTAACATGATTTCATGCAAGTGCTCAAACTGTGATCCACAGTTCATCATCACATTGCCTTCACAGGCTCCCTCCAACCTCTTTATTCTATAATGTGTCATAGCACAGATTCACAACAATTACCAAACAAATACAAAATGATGAAATTCAATCAGTTAAATGAGAAAATACTCAATTTATTACATGATATGAAATATTCTCGATAAGATGGATACTTAGGAATAGGATGGGGATGGTCAGAGCTGTCCAGTGTGTGTCTGTGTGTATGTGTGTGTGCGGTTCCCATGTGTCTAGGAGCTGCTCACCACAGCCTCTAATGAACACTGAAGCCTTGTCAGGAGGACACAAATCACAGGGCCAGCTCCAGCTCCCATAATGCCATTTTACTGGGTAAAATGACACTGCTGATTCAAGGTGACTCCACTAATCCCTTTTGGCTCATTGGATGACTTCTGTGGTTATGAGCACACTCCTTTACACATGGGCCGATAATTTTGTAATACCTCCACTGACACGGGTGGTGCCTCAGACATTCACAAGGATGATTCATACAGCAGCTTTTTAGCAATCTGTTTGTTTCTTTTGTCCAAAAGCAACTGTTCCCTGAATCGCTGGTGAGGTGCACATTAAACATTTAAAGAAAATGAATTCTGAATTCCTCAGTAGACGAACACTCTGCCAGGAGCATGTCAGGGTTCAGTGGTGTCACTGAACCGATGTCATTTATTGTTTTGGGATCAAGTCATGTTGGCCATCACTCACTTTTTTTTTTTTTTTTTTTTTACTTACAATGAGCATGCACACATACACACACCGGCAAAAGGAGATGCATCCTGGTGGAGCCTGCCTGTCAGAGAATCAATGGAGTGTATGTTGAGGCCCACTGTCAGTGGTGATGAAGCTCAGAGGACACCCGAGCACACAGACGACCGACCTCACCTGACCACAGCTGACGAGACCCCGACAGCGCAGACAGCCCGAGCAATGAGAGCAATCACAATCAAACTGGATAACCACCAACACTTTTTCTTTTTGCTGTCTCTAAGTTGTATCTTCTCTATTTCTTGCCTCACTCTCAGGCTCCCCTATTAGAATCTACTGTTTCCACTGATGCCTGTTTGTCAGAAAATGTTAATTCTTCCATTTAAAATAATCTGCACATTTGCAGACCATGACCAGCTCACTAGTCCTTTTTCCAACTTATTGCCGTCACCCAGGCCTCAATGTCAGTCAGCACATCCCTTGTTGTAAATCCAGTATTTGTACGTCCTGGTTTTCTATTATCCCTATCTTCTTCACCTCTTTACCTATGTTCAGTTCACACCCTCATTACTTCCCTTCAAGGTAACCAAACACTCTAAACATTGATTATTGACAAACCAACAAGGTGATGAGGAAAAGCATTGGAACATAAAGAAGCTTCATCCACACTGAACCCAGGGCATAGCTGTTCTCTATAATTGGTATAAATAGAGTTAATATAGTGTGTGTATCGTTGTTGTGAACCATGTGGGGATGGCTGAAAATAGGCCTTGCTCTGGCAATACCCTCTGTCTGCATGATGGATAGTGGCCCTGCTTTCCTTCAACCTCTTTAAAATACTGAAAAAACACTGGGTCAGCTATCACTTGGCCCCAAATCTCCTCTTGCATGAATATGAAGACAGATGAAGGCACTAGAGTTAAAGGAGGAGTTTTGGCCAAATATCCAACTCAGGGAAAAGTAAAAAAAAAAAAAAAAAAAAAAAAAAAGGTTAATAGCCAACTAACTCTGTCCATTTTAAGACCCTTTCATTGCTTATCATGGATCATTAGCTAAAAGTGGTAAAGTGTTGCAGCTAATAGTCAGCATTTTGACAGAAAAAAACACCATATTACATATCAATGATCATAATAGCAATAAACAGCCTACAGTCAGATGAACCTAAAACGTAATGAAGTAATTATCAGCACAATGGGGGTTTCCTGCAATCAACAAAAGTCAACCAAAGGATTGATGTCAGTGTTGGTGTTGTCCAGCAGTCACCAAACGGACTGGTATGAGCGTGCAGGCTGTAAGAGTAAGAAGTAAAAAATCAATTCTGGTCCTAGAATTTCAGGTTGCTTAACCCTCAACTGCTGGAGGAGACAAATACTTAATGTTTTTCGTGGGAACTTGAAGGAAAATCAATAGTGCCTTTTTTTTTTTCTTTTTTTCTGACTAAGTGCAGTCCCGTAGTCCAGACATTGGCTCTTTCACAGTACACAAAAAACTAATGATGCAAAACAATTAAGACAGCAGTGTCCCTTTCTTTTTTTATATACTCCAACTATTCTCAGTGCAATAAATGTTACAATAAATGCACCCTTTGCAGGAATTTCCTACCGTGCTTTGTTCCTTTGTTTGTTGTTATTTTTAAATGCCATACACAGACACTATACATTGAACAGTTTAACAGTTTATGTCCTTTGCACTGTAGGAATCACAAAACTCACAAATGCTTTCCATCTCAGTTTGGTTTGGCTTGTCACTGTCCTGCCCTTTCAAAGACATTCGCAAGCACAGTGGCTTGACAGCTGGTTTGTTCTATTAGCATCAGAAAGAGCAGGTCCAATCTCTAAGTGGGCAGAGCCGCATGTAATCCCATCAAAACGGAGAGCCCATGACCTCATCTGGAAGGCAGAGGCCCAACCAGCCCAGGACGTCTTCCGTTAGGAGATTTCATCAAACAGTGATGCCATTACTGACTGAGTAGGGGGGGGGGGGTTATGGGAGAAGTATTAATAAGAAGTGGTGCCTGGATAAAAGAACTTAGAGAGAGAGGAAGGAAATGGATGTTGAATGGTCGGGGAATAGAATAAAACAATAGTTTAACAAAGGACATACAGTATAAAGAGAATCATGTCACCACACAGATGACATCTTTCAAACCCTATAGCACCTCTGTTCGACACTCAAAGCTCCACCGCAGGAGATAAAAACTTCACGGCTGATCTCAAGACATGCTAATGTTATACACAGATACATAATCTATCTGTGCATACACAATGAAGCTGGAGCAGGTTGATATCTGCCTTTCTTCCCATGAGGAGCCAGCATTGTTAATAATAGTATTGACTTCACTCACTTCTGTGCCAAAGGAATTCCCCACTGTGCATATTAACATTGTGAATCTCCACCATTCATAAATTGTTACATTTGTACAGAAAGACAGAAAACATGTTTTGGATTCATAGATATTTAAAAAAAAAAAAAATCCCATCCCACACTGAAGAGGAGTTGTTCTGTTTTTCTTTTTTGCATCAGGCTGAAGTCTGTTTGATCATCTTGGTAAATATATGGTCTTTCTGCCCTGCCAGACCTCACTTCTGACACAATACGGTGTTTCCATAGGACTTTTAAAACATAACGTGTCACCACCACTGTCTGCTGCGGACCTTTCATGTTGCAATGATCTAATAACCCTGATTAGGCAAGGGATGCTGGTGTTTTTTTTTCTCTCCCTAACACTTAATTGCTCCTTTTGTCAAACTGTTTAATGTGATGCAGAATGATTGTGTATGTGTACTTAAAATTCACAAAGGTTGTAAATTTGACAGAAGAGAAAAAACACCAGGACATCTTCAGTTCCTCTCAGAGAGGAAATCATTCCCTGTCATTCTGCCAGACACACAAATGACAAGAGGAGTCTTAAATCTAATATAAAATGTTGGTTTTAACTTGCCGCTGAAATAATGACTAATTGGTTCATTTAAACACAATGTACAGACACAGTCTTTTTGTGAAGCTCTCTCTACTCTCCGCTGCATCATTTCTGGCACAGCTTACTTTCTACTGAGTCCTTCCTTCCATTTATCCATGAAACACTGGCATAGAAAATGTTTACCTCTTAAAATAGCTTGTGTGATGCTGCATCACTTTAGGAAAACTAACAAAATTACAGGTCAGTGTGGCTGCTTGAGAAGGGGCTGTTATTGAATGCAGAGGTGGGGCGTTCTGAATCACAATGAGATTCTTGTTTACCATGGTAGGGGAAAAAAAATCTACATCAACTTGAAATCAATGATAAGTGGAGGCAAAGGAATGAATTCTGCAACCTGCGATTACTTTACCTCATCTAACACTTATTCTGTGATGGAGGCCTTGAGTGTAGACCCAGCAGGACAACTACAGCAGCCTTCGCATTGCAAACAAAGCA